CACACACACACACATACACACACAAAAGATCGCGAGCGCGCATAGGCCTACACAGACTCATTCACCCCTCCCCCCCCACACACACACACACATACAAATGCACTCGTGCCCAACACGTGTCCAAACTTGAAAAAAGGTTTCCGTTCCACTGACCCTAGTGGTCGTCCGACATGTAGATCAGTGACTGATAGCGCCGTTGACCCAGCGCTTTGTCAAGCTAATTTACTTACTATCTGTCTTATCTTTTCGGCCTCAGTTATATTATATTTTTACAACAATTCACCTTGGCCTAAAAACTACCCGTTGGAAACAATCTGCACTCGAAAGAGAAAACGTCACATTAGTGAGTCGTATGGAAGCATTGTCAAGAATCTAATGGAAGGAAAAGAAATCAAATATGGTAGTGCAGAAAAATCACGAGTGGGCTGCTCTTGAATACATTTTTTTTTCTTTAATGTTTTAACAATTAGGAAGAAACAAATACATGTAATTTCTGGGACGGATGGACCGACCTAAAGACCTCGAAAATCTTGCTCTCTCTGAAAAAGAAAAACCAGATGACTAAAGAGGCTGGGGGTAGACCAAGCGCAACTTACTTAGAGAACCTGCACACGATAATAAATGCATGAAGGGTAAAGACCAAGATTTTAGAGCATCCAACCAAGGAAACAAATGACGAGCAACAATCGACAGTGTCTGCTTTAGATCTGGAACTTCGTAATGACAGTCGTATGAATATAAATGTTAGGCTAGATGGCGCCACCAATACTATTCAGTCCTATAAATATTGCAACTGTGAATACGTGGGAAAAGAGCTAAAATTTAAAAGAAAGAAGTCCTCTCTTTTTGTTACATTTACATGTAGGCCTACTCACTTCTAAGAGAAATAATGGAGGTGAATTTATCTCTATCTAAGATTGCAAACTGCGGGATCCCCTCGGTGTCTACCTTATCGATCGCTGGTTTGGTAACATTGGTCTTGCCTTTGAAAATATAACAGCAGGGAATTTGTGAATCCCAAGCACCACACCCCCGACTCCGCCACACCCACCTCTCAACCTCCCCCCCCCTCTCTCTCTCTCTCTCTCTCTCTCTCTCTCTCTCTCTCTCTCTCTCTCTCTCTCTCTCTCTCTCTCTCTCTCTCTCTCTCTCTCTCTCAAGACGCTATCCCAGGATAGAGCAAGGTGGAAAGTGTTTGTCCGAGGCCTATACCTTGGTGCAGGGCAAGAAATGCAATGATGATGATGAACAACAGCAAACTACCGCGTTTTTTGCTACAAGAATAAATTATAGAGTCGTATTTGAACTTATTCGACAAAATTCATCTTTTCCAAATAATGCCCCCCCCCCCCCAAAAATTAACAACACCAAAAAAACAACATTGCAGCCTCTTTGGTCATAAAAAAATAAAAAATACAAAAAGTAACAGTTTTCTTGAAATGATCTGCTTTTTTGTTTTCTGGCATTTCTTATTTTCTGGCATTCCTTATTTCTGCTGTCCGTTATAAGTCAAAGCTTCATTTAATTTCCTTTTTAAAGCACCAATAGCTTTACCTAGGCTGTTTCATCGTTAATTTTCTCCATGTATGACTCACTCATACCTGTGCAAACAAAATGAAATCACTGATTAAATCACCCCTCTCCCCCCCCCCTCCCCCCGAAAAAAACACCCAATATGTCTCGCTGACACTTTTGCTAGAGAAACAAGAGTAACTGAGATCTATGTCAACCAAAATAGGGGGAAATCACAAGTGACTGAAGGGCCATATCGGTGCGCTATAGTATACACCAGGCACACGCCGTGGCGAGGTGATAAGGAACATCAAAGAAATGGCTACAGCCCCGCAGAACGTCCAGTGGAATTTTCCATCACGGATGTATTTTTCCACTTCGTCCAGTCTCACTGTAGACAAAACGCATAGGTGTGCAAGTTTACCTTACAAGGTGATGCAGAGTCCGTAAAATTTGTATAAAAGCTGCGAATTTTGCTTGAGAAAGTATTCGGACATTTGGCGCTGAATAAAGGTAATACTTTGTACTTCTCTCTCAAGAAGTGGCAATGATTCTTTATGATAAGACCAAAGATAGAAAATGACTCCCGGATAGGTGCAAAATAATTCACACTCAGTGAATTACTCTTTTTTTACTCATCAATCAAAATGCATTGACTCAACCGTACTCGATTGAAAAAGCATGCATAATATAGCTCTTTTGGTTTTATGTAAAATAAATGAGTGAAAATCGCATGCTTCAGATTTTGCGATGTCCAGGTATATCTATAGTCTGTTTCAATCAAATTTAGCTTTGCCATTTCTAGGATCTTGTCCACTCTTTCCCTCTATCTATCTATCTATCTATCTATCTATCTATCTATCTATCTATCTATCTATCTATCATGCGAAAGTAGTGTATAGCGTGTGGCAGCCATTCCGTCCAGCATCAGCGACGAGATAGCTCTCATCCCCTGGCCTTCAAAGCATGGATCGGAGACCCTCCTCACCAGTACCCCGACAACAAGCTTCAACCTGCCTACGAAACACAAAGCTTGTACTGTCGTACTCACCGGCTTAATACAACAGGAAGAGAGAAGATGAAGACTGCCAAATCAAGCCCACACCGTAATCCGCGTCGAAACGTCGGAATTCGGATATACCAAAAAAGGACCCATTACGATGCGATATAACTCAAGAAACTTGGATTTACGACGCTACCAATAACCCCACTCCATACCTGAAGAGAGATGGACGTCTCTATGCTAGTGCCTCCCTTCCTACACGGGACCTCAAAGTACTACTCAACAAAACATAAATTGCATTGCTGACCACAACAACGGCGAGAGGCATAGCTTGAAGCGTGGATTACCAACCTATTATTCCCCCTTTTGCCTTCTTTATCCGCACGTAAGGATGACCATGTTGTAATGTAGCCTATGTGCTATCAGCACGCAGCGGTGGCGACGATGTCACAGTGATAACGTGATAGATCATCAATGGACGTTCCGATGTCGTCTGGCATTCCGTAAGATCCAAGGCTACCTTGCAAAGGAAGGACAGCTCACTACGTGTTGTGATATGGATTGTTAACGTGCCTAGAAATTCCTTTCAATTCCGACAACATTACTGTCCTAAGCATGTGTTCAGCTCTTCAGTCCGTGGATAACTTCACTAGCCTATGCTTTAAAAAAATGCGCAACAGGGGATTGGAAACTGCAGTCTCTAGCCCCTACTTACTCTTTGGCGATTACGCCTTCAAATCAGATTTAGGTTAAATCTAACAGTATTGTGTCCACTGTATTTTCACTCACTCCGCTCTCTCTCTCTCTCTCTCTCTCTCTCTCTCTCTCTCTCTCTCTCTCTCTCTCTCTCTCTCTCTCTCTCTCTCTCTCTCTCTCTCTCTCTCTCTCTCTCTCTATATATATATATATATATTATATATATATATATATATGTATATATATATATATATATAATATATATATATTTCTATCTATCTATGTATCGCTAACTCTTTCTCTCTCTCTTTCTTCACTCTGGAGGAGTCCAGGTCTTGAGATCAGTATCTATCGTCACTATTTTCATGACGTAGTGCATACTCTCGCCACCGTTATCTCTCGCCCATTCTTACTCTGGGTTGTCAATCCCTTTGTCTGTTTCTGTCTGTCTTATCTCTCTGATGCGAGGCATGTATCTGACACTTTTGTCTGAAGTCTTACCATTGTGATAAAGCGCATCATTTTTTTTTTCACAGACATGTCCTGCACTGCCTGTTCTGCTATACTCTCCCCTCTCCCTTTCTTTCTAGCTTTCTACCTCCCCCCCCCCCTCTCTCTCTCGCTCTCTCGCTCTCTCTCTCTCTCTGTCTCTCTCTTTCTCTCTGTCTCTCTCTTTCTCTCTCTCTTTATATATATATATATATATATATATATATATATATATATATCTGTATGTGTGTGTATGTGTGTGAGTGTGTATGTGTGTGTGTGTGTGTGTGTGTGTGTGTGTGTGTGTGTGTGTGTGTGTGTGTGTGTGTGTGTGTGTGTGTGTGTGTGTGCTCTTGTTTCTCTATTTCCCTATCAAAATCATCTGAGGATTAGACAAGGAATCTTTTTCAAGGAACCATGGCCTTCAATCACGCAGAAGTAGATCTTCACTATCTAGTCCAGCTGCTTAACTGCTGATAATGGTCAAATCAGGAGGTTACCGGTCGTGAACTTTTGCACTTCTACTTGCAGCATAAACAAAGGCTGAGTTCGAGTCAGCGGGGCAAGATCAATTGATTTATTAATACCCTATATGATTTTGACCGCAAATAAAACAACTGAGGGAATCCAAACAGAAACAATGCGTGTCGTATTTTGACTTCAGCTCTTTTATGTCTCAATAAGAATGTTTATGTAACTTCAGTTCGTTGTCTGTTGGTCAAAGGGTTGCTGAACATAAGTTTACAAGAAATACCTAGAAATTTTGATAAGTTGTTTTTAGATGAGTCGTCTCTGGTCTTCTTATAAAGCAAATTGACTTCAGAACAAATACAGACGCCACACTTCAGAAACCACCATGGTAAGCTTTTCAATGATCATAAGTTAGCTTCATTCTATAATTTTGTAGTCATACATGTCATTGAGAAAGAAACCACACAATGGGGACCAGAAGAGTCATTGGTATTTATTCAATGTCTTCATGGTTTCATATTTTGGATTTTTTCAGTTGTCTATTCCACGATGTTCTCCAAGTCTGCTGTCCAGCGCTGTGCGCTCTCACTTCTCCGTCAAAGCAAAGCCCAGAAGGCTGCTGTTGGCGTGACGAGATGTTTGTCCGTCTCACAAGCCAGATGCTCCGAGTCCAAGCCCAGCAAGGAAGAGTCCTTCGCTGCCATCCAAGCCCATCTCAAGAAAGGCATTGGTTCAACAGGAACTGTTAAGCTGTACGACGATATCGGCAAGAACTATGAAGTAGTAAGTACCTGATAGGGATGTGTACATACAACTTTGTCTTTCAGAATTTGACATACAAAATACAAACTTTTGAAACCAACTCTTGAATAAATCTTCCGAATAAACGTCAGCACTGCTGCTAAAAAAGCCAGAGATCGAAATTTGGTGAGAAAATTTTTTAAATAAAAACCAGCACAGTGTGGTTTGTACGTTGAAAGTATCATTCAGAGCTCTATACCTCGGCTCTCGTTCGTTTCAATACCATGTCATTCCTTACCAATCTCTTCTTGAGGTTCTGAGAAAGAAAACACCAACTTTATGATAACTTTTCACAGCTCTTTGCGACCCTGGTCTTGAAATTCTAAATAAACCCAGGCCTTGTCAAATGCAGGGAATAATCTCTTATCACCTCGATCCATCTTCCAGTACATGGGCACCCTCGAGTTCAGCGCCCCTACACATCTTGGCAAGATCGTGTCTCGTTTGTCAGGGTCAAACAAGGACATCAGCATCATCGACATTGGCGCGGGCTCTGGTCTTGGCGGTGTTGCGGTAAGTGGACATTTTTGTTGATGAGCCAAATGGCCAAAGGCTACTCATACCATTGTGACGGAAGGGAGCTTTTTCAAGAGGAAGCATTTAGCTTGATGCAGAACTGATTTTATCAGTCCTTACGACAGATGGGTTTTTAAAAGAAAGAACAAATATATTAGTTTGGTTATCGGCACCACCAGAAAGGACATTGTACCCTCAGGAAAAATGCGTTACCTATTATCTTTAGTTCACCCAACATGTTTGACTATCGGTAGAGAGAGTTTATGAGAATAAGTCGCTTGAGCCGAGTCCATGGCAACACCCTTGGGCCTGGATATATTGGGGGGGGGGGGGGTCACAATAGCATGTTGAGACAGATACTTCTAGATCTAGTTGTAAAGTCAAAGTGCGTTAAAATAACTGATGGTTGGTATTTCATGCAAATTGTCTGTTCCTTTTAAGTGTTTATTATTGCATTTCGACTCAAGTTTGGTTTCTTATTTTGATCATTACGTATGTTTCAACTGCTGCTTCGGTGTCTTTCGCCCGACAGCTGAACCAAAATGGCTTCAAGAACGTTGATGCTTGCGACGCCTCCCAAGGCCTGCTCGATGTTGCTAAAGAGAAGGGAGTCTACAACAAGTTCTACTGCCAATTCTTGGGTGACACAAAACTGCCCATCCCTGACCGTAAGTTTCTTGTAATTCAAATTCAACACAGAAGTTGTTTTATTGGGGATAGTGGGCAGGGCTTAAAAGTCATGTCCAGAGCCGATAGCACGTTAGAGTCAGTTATTTTTTTCCTTCTATTTGGCATATGAAGGACGCAGAATACAACTTGTCGTGCTCTGTTCGCCATGGGTGAGTGGAAATTTCCAACGCTGTGCAGTGTTAAAACGCAGTGATGCTGAAAAATTCGAATTTTGTATAACTGGGAATTATCAAATAACACTAGCACGCAACTCAGAGAATTAAATCTATAGATCAGGATTTAAATGATTTGATCCTCATACAGTGTATTGTTGTTGTTTTTTTTTACTGAAAATGATTGTTTGTGTTAATAGTTTTGCAGACAATGACATATCTTTGCAAACATTTTGACATTTTGTTTCAAAACGTTATACCAACTTACACCCTATAAAGTTCAATCTGTATTCAGTTTCAACGATGACGAAATATTTTCGATGATCAAAAAGTGGTACGTTTTTAAATACTGGCTGGCAAACATGATGTGTTCAATACACTGTATGAGAACGTTTTCTTTCATAAAGTCAGCTAGCGTGATGCGGTGTTAATCTGGTCTATTTATCTACTCTCACAGAGACCTACGACATGGCCACTATCTGTGCTGCTATGGGAGAAAACCACATCCCTAAGTCAGGCTTCGAAGACATCATCCGTATCGTCAAAAAAGGTGAGGTTTTTGCACTTCTCAAACTTCTCAGTTTCTCGGCAGAGCTCTTGATCTCTGAAGAGGGAGGAGGTGACCAGGAGCAAGAAGGGGCCGTGGTGAGAGCAAGGGATCATTGATATTTGGTGGCAAAACCGTGAAATCCTAGTCCAAGTGGAAACTATAATGTGGTACATGTAGGAGCTGACCATAGCAAATTACTCTGCATAATTTTTACTTCTACTGCTGTTCTTTTTCTTTGGTGTTATTAAACTAGCAACGTCGCAGTAAAAATTGCAACCTGCACCGCGTGTTGAAGAAAAACTACATGTAACCTCTTCACTGCTGTGCAGACATGATACGTATTCGGTTGTGGTCCCCAAAACTGGTCCAATAATGTTTTTCAAATATACCTATGGAGAAAGGTTTAGGAGGTGAACTACCGCGTGTGCACTTGCTTATTCTTATTTACGCTGAAAGCTACTATGTCTTTGTTTGAATCTCTCTTAGATTAACATTTTATCTTGACTGTACTAATGTAGAAATACGTCTCAGCAATGAAAGAGTTAAACAAATACATTGCCTGTTTCCTCAGGTGGTTACATCGTGAACGTATTCAGAGAGGAGGCTCAGCGTGTACCGTGGTACGAGGAGGGACTTGTGCCCTTCATGAAGAAACTAGAGGCTGATGGAGTCTGGAGGGAGGAAGTGAGGGAGATCTTCCCCGAGTTCTTGCCCGGTCTCGAGGGAATCATCCTTGTGCACAGAGTCTTGTAAACTCTCTGAGCGGCCTGGCACAGACACAAAGTGGAATTGATTGACGACTTTTGCTCACTCCCCCGATGCGTTCGGCACAGGCCTCTCATTAATTTTACCTGGCACAGACTCTCAAACGACGCCTTTGGCCAACGTGAATGAAGCTGGACATCAGCTAATCAGAGATATATGAACAGATTCTCAAATGTGCAATAGTTAGCTCTGATGATATAATATAAACTTTTTTTTCGCTAAAAGCGTCATGGTTGAAGTACTTGTATGATAGTCTGAGCCGGTACTTTGTAATTTGTCTTGTGTTGAACTGCTCATCTGGACACAATTACAGGATCTTAAATCAACGCCCTCTCCACATTCTCTGCCACTCGTCTTAATCAATATCCCGAGACCTTCTTTAGATTCTTAAAATATTAGCTTTTGTAAAGCTATTTCTTCCTTTTATGTACAGTGCTTATCCCCGAACCCCCCCCCTCCCCCTCCCGTCCCCAATCCCTTCCAGTTTTTCATTTTTTCTGTTCCCCCTCAAAAGTTCCCCGATCAGACTTTGTTTTTTTACCCTCATATTTTAATGAAGTTATGTCAGAACATGAACTAGAATGTTATTATCATAAACATAAATAATAACACTGTAGCAAATGACTGACATCTTACTGAACTCGCCCATTCATAAGACCCGCTCATGGTATACAATGCGTTCAATGCACCGAACACTTTCGCATTAATATCTCGTGATATCGATGATAGCCTGTTCGAAACCGTCTTCAGTGCTTTAAAGAAGTAAATAAAACATTTTTACTCTAGACTCACACAGTGGAAAGTTTTTGTCCCTGAGCTGAGGAAGGAGTGGGTTACCATGATTGCCTATGTCTCCTCCGGACCTAATATCTGGAGAAGAAGTAGGTCTACCATGTTGCCGGCTTTCTAAGCTATTCTATATATTTCCACTTACAAGCCCATGTTTGAAAGACATGTAGATTGATCTGGTTAAATTATTTAGTGGAGAAGCTATCGCCGTCATCACTAGACGTTTCAAGAAAGTTTGCATTGAACACATTGTACGAATTGAGCTAGCTACTGTAACAATTAATATCTACAAACGCGACGCCCAAAAGGCCTTACGACGGTCTGATGCTGGTTTGGCGCTTGATTTCCTAACAAAGAACTAATCTGCAAATAAAAAATTGTTTCTATTCTACAAATGAAATGTGAGTGTTTGCTTGATTGATTTATATATTAATTGATAGATTTACAAGATTTACGGAGTAAGTGATTGGATGGAGGATTGATTGATGGGTTGAAAAAATTGTTTTATTTGGTTGTGAGTAACAGGCTGGTTGTATGATTTTTAAAAATTATTTTTTGGGATCAGTAAAAGAGAAGAAAAGATATAAATATACAACCAAATGCAATACATTAGTTGTTTGGTGGGTTACTATTGTCTATTCTACCGATATATAGCAAGTCAAATAAGTGATATGTTAGTAATGTTACATTTATGAGTTTGGTGAGATATACGGACTAAAGGAAGAATTTGTTTAGAGCAGGTTAAGTACCTTAACACCCTTGCAAGGATGGAACCCAGAAACCCCCGCTGCGCCGTTCATGATAACCAAGGGTTTTTTTTAACTGACGGGACAAGGACATGCTTGATGATAAAGTGGGTTTTGGTTTTGGTGTTGTTTTCTATGGGTTCAGCACCCCTACAAACTAGAGTCTACAGACTTCAATAAAAGTTAAGGACCTCCTTGACAGACAACCCTGATTTTTTTTTTTATTTGAAAAAAGACCACCAAGGAATGTTTCAAATTTTTTGCTCTAAAAGTGTTAAAGGGTCACCAGTGATTACTGCAAGCTTCCCAAAGGGGCAAAACCACCACGTGCAGCACGGAAATCCTCGGTGAATTATAGCAAAATTTACTGTTTTTTATTGACTTGTGTGCGACACCACAGACATTCCACATTAAAAATGTCTGGTTCATGTCATAAACCGACGTACGGTCTCGAACTGTGCTCACTCTGTTGGCAATATAAGCCGCCGTTTACACAAAATCCAGTATCGCATCAATATGCAACGAGACGAAAGCTGAGAGGCTTTGGTCGTGCCAGAGCTATGGCATGGCTGCAGGATGGAGTTGGAGCCCGACAATTTGCCAGAAGACTTGCAGTGTCACACTCTGTCATTGTCCGCCTGAGGCAGCGCCACCAACCCACTGGGTCAGTCCAAGAACGCCCACGTGCAGGTCGACCCAAGAAGACCACTCAGAGTGTTTGCAAGTGGTTCTTAAACTCATGGTGAAGTCTGTATGTCAGATTACTTAAAAGGCGAGCCCTCTGATTTCGACATACGTCTCTGATAGGGTGGAGAGCCTGAAAAAGTCCCCGCTTTAAAGACCACCTGCTTTTAGATTTGAGCCTTAGAGCTGTTACATTAGAAGATCAGAGGTCTGAGACAGTTGTGTACAGCATCATAAATAACACCCAAGTCGCTACTTAACTGCTTTTCTTTTCTCTATCTTCTGTGTATCTCTCTGACTTGGTGTCCCGACGCACCAGACACGACCTACCTCGGTTTGAGAGCAAATCCGGCGGTGGTCTCAGTACTTTCGACTTGTCAAAATACTGGACGAAGAGAAACGGTTTTTTAAAGTAAAAAGAAAAAGGTCAAGATCCTGACCTCAGCTAGGCTTGAAACTTGATCTGTCGCTGGTTGAGTAGTTTTCGAGATGGCCACCCTTCCACGATAGATCTATGCCAAAGGCACAGGAAGTATACCAACTTTTCTGTTATTATAATGATACAAGAATTAAGTAAAGATAACTGATACAAACTGCAGCGCTGAATTGCAGTTGCCAAACAGATACAAGGGTTATACCAAATAAGTAGTGTTTTGTTATGTTCTGATCTTATATATCACGTCTATCTATCTATCTGTCTATCTATCTATCTATCTATCTATCTATCTATCTATCTATCTATCAATCCCTCCATCTCTCCATCCATCCGTCCATCCATCTATCTATCCATCTATCTATCCATCTATCTATGCATCCATTCATCTATCCATCTATCTATCCATCTATCGATCGGGAGCTGTAATTCATCGCTCGTGCGTTGCCTCTGACGATCGCCAGAGAGATTCTCTCTAACAACATCCTCATCTCCGGCGGGTCACCTGTAACGTTTGTTAACCGACGACCAACTTTCTTGAAGTACTGGGTCGTCAGGGGTCCGAGAGCGCCGGACGTTTCGACGTCCACTGGTACGGAGTGGTAGCTGTCGCTGAGGCGTGCATATTTCCTAATTTTGGATCTGTCGCTTATCAGAGAAGTAATCGAGGAGGCGAGAAAGATACAGACCTCCCTGACTACGCCTTCCTAGTGACATATTTTAATGAGTCTAGTAATATACTGTAAATTAAATCCACACAAGAACAGAAGTGACGTTGGCATCGTTTTGTTACTGGTGTTATTATTATTGTCGTCGCCATTACCATTGTCGTCGTCGCCATCGGCATTATTTGTGTGTCAGGCAACAGTAATGTAATATAATATACTTTTTGTGGGGGGGGGGGGGGGGGGGAATCAAGGTTTTGGCTTGTCGTTTATTAATTCAACCACAACTGGGTAGAATGCAAAACAATGCCCATGTATTTACTAGAGACTCTGGAACAGACTGATGGGAGCCAATCTCGCCCCCCCCCCCCCTCCACCACCACCACCAGGTTCACGTGGCCTGAGAACTTGTCAGGTGAATTGTATGAAGATGACTCACTCTTACTGATTCTTCCACCACCAGATAACAAAACGGCATTTTATTGTGATGAACAAACCCTTGAGGTTGACAGGCCTAGGACCAATAGAGTGTTGCTAAATTACGCGTCATATCGCATGTTTGCAAAGAGATGACTTAGAAAGTAGTAACAGACTGTCACTAAATTATACGTAATATAGTATGTTTGTAGAGAGATAGGTCAGGACGCTAAAGTACATTTATTATTTAAGGTAAAGATTTGCAGTGTAAAGTGTACGCTAAGGAATACGCATTCATGGTAAAGACGTAGGCCTATAGCCAAGGCGGAGATAATGGAAAATGGGTCAGTGTTTCAGAAAGCTTACGTGTTGTGACCTTTAGTACGGACGTTTAGCGTATCTTCCACCAACATTTTCAGTGAAAGATAGTGGGGCTAATTTTCCACACAAAAAACCCACAAAAAAAGAGAGAAGACTCCAAGTTGTTTCAGAACTGGGAAAGCTTAAAAGAATGCAAATCGTCGACAAGCTGTTAAAATGTACCAAACCCATATTATATCATTAAGTGATTGTTTTGGAGAAAGAGAAAAATACTTTTTCATTTTTATAAACTTTTGTACTTTTTAAAACTTAGAATTTGAA